CAAAAGTTTTACACATCTTTTGTGTCCTTAACTATTCCTTACAGAGATGCTATTAGAATGAAATAATGAAATGACGGATGCTGAAGGATGTACATCAGATGAAAGCATATCACTGGCTTACAGGTCTGGGCAAGCAGTGCCATCCTTTTACAGTGGCCACTGGAAGTTAAACTAGGGAATGGCCAGGACTTCTGCAAACTCAAGTCTATTCCTTACACTCAAAGAGGGCAGCAGGTCTCAGCTCCAGGCACTAGAACCTGAGCAGGAGTGTGGGTCCAGGGTTGCCTGATGTCCTCCATTTTCTTCAGAGAGACCAGAAATACAGATTTTTATGCCACAGTTTGAAAAACACTGTGCAGATCAAGCAAAATAAGTCTGTGGGCTGTTAGTTTACAACTCTGAAATGATGAGGCAGCTCAGGCAAAAACTAAGAGGATGTTTGTCTGTTGTCAGTGCCTAAAGTCTTGTTGGAATGCCTGTGGGTTTCCGAAGCAGGTCCACAGCAGAAGGGGACCCGCCGTAACTAGGCATGCTGCCCCTCACCCGATCGCGCCGTAGGCTCTCAGCATCTTTCTACTGTGTGATCCCTTGCTCTCAGGGACAGCTGTTCCTTTGTGTTGGGGGAATAGCCTCCTGACACGTGTTCTCAGCAACACCAGACAGCAGATTCCCATGGTCTTTTTGGACAGTGATTTATATTCTGATGGTAGAATTGACCTATAAACACGCAATGCAGGCAACATCGCTGGACAACTCAACTGGGGCTGAATAAATCAATGCTTTCTGGAGCCAGGCAGGTAAAGAACATGAGAGAAGTGGGCTGGTTTAGAAGGAAGCCATCTTGATGAGATACTCCCTCCCCCATCTTAGCCAGTGGGGCCCCCGGGGCTTGGGGCCTTGTGTTGCTGGATCTTTTGAAATTTCAAAGAGAGCTGAGGTATCCCAATTTGGACATGAAATTTCCTGATTTCTGGCCTGTGAATGACCATTGACTGACTCCTTCTGCAGTAAACTATAAATGGCAAGTAAGGGTCCTGGCATGAAGTGCCTGCCACAGGAGGTTGGAGCAGGGGGAGAACAGGTAAAGTGTCTTCTTGTCGTCTCTACCTTTGCACTTGCCATTCCCTCTGTACGGAACTCACCTACCTCATCGCTCTCCAGCTGCTCACCTTGTCCTCCCGGAAAGCTTCTACTTATCATTGAAACTCAGTTCAACCACCACCCTCTGAGAGGCCAACTTACAAATTGCTGCTGTAACACACACAACATTAAATTTTAGTTTTCTGTTTACAGGACAGTCCGCCTTACAAGGAATAAGGTTCTCCAGGGCAGGGAACATGTCTCCCTTTTATCTGCATTTCTAGCGCTTACCACCAGGCCTGGGCTTGGTAAAAGGCTCAGAAATGCTTGCTAAGGGTATGAAAGACTTTTTACATTAAAGAGTTTCTTTCTCAAAGTTTGATGCTCACAGTAACAACAGCAGAATTCCCTTAGGGCCTGTTCTTGAATATTCTGATTTAGAAAGTCTAGAGTTCGCCCCTGAATCTTGCATTGAACAAGCTCCCTGGGTGAATATGAGGTGCACTGAAATTTGAGGGCTAAGATGTAACCCCCTACAAGGAAAGAGGCTGTGTCTTTGTTGGCCATTATATTCCTAACACCTGGCATGAAGTAGACATTTAGTGTGTATTTGCTGAATGAATGAATGGGTAAATGAATGAAATGGTAAGAATTAAATTGCATCAGTGCTCCTCAGACTGCCGATAGAAAGCCCAATTAGTTGTCCATCTGTGCCTTTATTTATACTTACCATAAAGGCACCCAGATAAGCTGAATGTCAGCAGCTATGGTCTCTGTGGACAGTCTCCCCAGCACCTGCCCCTGCAGGCTTGGAAGAGTGCTCAGAGGAGATCCCAAGGTATTGGGGGTGCGATTCCATGTCTTTCTCCCTTCATCATGGCAGACAAGGAAAGCAAGAAGTCTGAATGCAGAGAAAATGCAAAACTCTCATCTTGGCCAGAGGGATTAGCAGTCCCCCCTTTTCCTCCCTTCTGAACCCCCTATCCTGTAGCCCACTCTTCCTCCTTTTTAATCCCCTGTTGCTGATGAGTCCAGTAGAAATAGCTCCTGTTACACTTCTCCCTTCCTTTCTCCACCCTCTACTGGAGGGATAATGAATAGCAAAATGCACAAGAAAACATCAAATGATGGCAAAAATTACAAAAATACAAAGATATGGTTATTTTCTGGAGGTAAGACTGGGGCAGTTAATTTAAAGTAACTACTTGTCCAGATTTCAAAAAGCATCTGATATTAAATTTGAATAAGATGCTTTGTTTTTTTCATAAATGATTAATTAATGTATCTTCCCTAAAATCTCTGTCTTCACTTTGACATTTTTTAGTGAATTCACATTGGGGCAGATGTACAGTTTTCACAGACCAATGGGTAACATGAACATAGACCCAGAAGGTTCCTGGCCTCATGTGGAAGTTGACAGAGAATCTTCCGGCAGGTTGAAAATTACTGCGCCACTATTACCACCCAAATTTCCCAGGACCCTCTCTGATCTTGGAGCTAAAGAGAGGAAATTAAAGGTCTAACCACAAGATAATGTTATTGCTTCTCAGACAGTCCCCTCAGCAAAGTCCCCTACTGGACCGTAAGCTGTTGGAGAGCTGGGGCCTTTTATCATCTATGTTTTTCCCTTTTAGGTCACAGATTGAAAAAAAACAGCAACATTTAAAGAGTGACCAAATTCACAGAAACCTGTACACTGGTATATGGCAGGAATCAAGTTCAAGAACCCAGATCTATTCATTCCAAGTTCACTAACTGCACCGGAAGATATTTTCTGTATCCTATTTCAATCTCCCCAATAAATAGCCAAGAACTCTATTAGAGATCAAACCTTAGGTTGTTAAGGTAACAGTACAGAGCACCACCTTTTGCCTCAGAACCTTTCCTCCTATTTTTGTCTTTTTTTATCTTGTCCTGTCAGTCAAGACCTTGACACTGGGACCTCAGTTAATATCTCTTTCCCACACGCTCTGCTGTACACAGTTCTCAGCAGGGTGAGTGCCAGCCGTTCATTCTTCTTGATTCCCTAAACAAGTAATCCTTCTTGAGTAAGGGACCCCTTTGAGAGTGTGACAACAGCTATGGAGCCTCTCCCCAGGACATAGATTAACATATTCGTATAAAGGCAAAAGATTATGCATAATCTCAGGCAGTTTTTAGATCCTCTCGGCCAGATCTACCCAAATACCTTCCTCTAAGCCATATCAAAAGGAATGGGAGGTTGTCCGGTAACCAAATGCCTCCTCGAGATTATTTCAGCTTTCCAAGGATATGGTTTCACAGAACTATGAGTTGACAATTAAACTTCAGCTCTTTTTTTCTGGGTGGTAACACAATAGGCAAGCTTTTGAATCTCAGCATCACTGACATACAGAATTGCTGTTTCCTTTTTTCAGTGGGTACTCCTGAGCAAAATCACAGCTGCAATTTGAATCACTATAAGGTTTTCTTCTTAGGTGCTTTATCAGGCCACACTGCCTTACAAGACCCAGAGAACTCCCTTTTGCTTCTTTAGTAATCTCAATATAATTGATCGGGTTACCATGGACTAATAAGGAACAAGACCCCATTTACTTCCCGGGTGACCTTAGGCCTGTTGTATAACTTGTTGCAGCCTTAGTTTCTTCATCTCTGAAAGGTCGCAATACTCTGCAGACTCCCGTGAAGATTGAAAGAGCCAGTGCGTGAAAACCGGTTACTGCATTATGTATAGGCCACAGCAGATGCTCAATAAATGGCAATGAATGTCACTATAATTGTTTATCAAATTACTTCCTGACACACAGTAAGTCCTCAATAAATGAAATCTGATATAATTATGATTCTTGGAATTTGTGCCTACATTATCTTATAAGTGGTTTTAGGGATAGGGAGAATTGTGAATTCTCATTTTGAGACTTCCAAGCCTGTTCAGTTCAAATCATTGAGAGCCCACCATGAGGAAATAAGGGAAAGAAATGAAGAAAATATGGTCTGTGACTTCTAATACCCACAGCTTAGCAGAAGTCACCGAATCCACAGTGGCACCCAAAACCTATGGTGCCACTTTTAATGCAGTTTCAAATCTTAAATTGTTCTTGCCCATTCAGCTCACACTTCATGCCATAATATCCCACATGAGCTTAGTTCCTGGAGGGAATATGTCTCCACTGATTAATTTTATGCTTTCATCTGTCATAAAATGGCAATCATGCAACCACACAGTTTCCTTTTTCAGTCCTAGTTGTCAGAAAAACTCAGAATGGTGTTTGTTGCCCACATCTGATAATGCATTCAATTCAGATGTCAGAAATTTGTCTCCCCCTTCTCCTTCTTGAGATCACCTCTGTTCTGCCTTATGCTCAAAGTGGGCCCTACAAAATGTGTCTTAAGCAATCAGTCACTTCAAAGCACTTGGAAATAATCAAGGCATTGATTTTTAAATAATTATTGATCATTTTCCAAAATGGGAAACCAGATATACAACTTCTCACATGCCCTTTCTTACGAAGCTGCAGGGACATTCTCTCCTTTTAACTTGTGGGCAGGAAAAGGCTTAAGCATTTTAAACCATCCTCTCCAAGTCAGAATCTTTGATTCTGTGTCTCTCAGAAGTTTCCTACGTGCAGAACTCTTTCAGCTGAACCAGAAAACCTCGGCGAGGCAGAGGACGTGCAGTCAATACCAGTACCCACGGTGCTGGCATTTCAAGTCAGCCAACAGTGAAAAAGCAACCCATTCTGTGAAGCATTGCAGGGTCTGAAATGCCAGCTGATGGAATCACTCAAAAGCCTCTGGACATTTTTCTTGGAGGGCTTTCTCTTATGAAGACAAATGATACAACTCAAGTCATTTTTTGTTAACACCATCACCTACCCACAGGCCCTCCTCTCATTGGTCGATCGCAGCAAGAAATCTCAGAAATAGAAGCAATTACTTACATCTATAGGTCATCTCAAAGCTGTCGCTGATGTTCACAATATCGATCTGGGGGAGGAGCTTTGGGGGCTCTGTGAGTTGTGACAAAGCGAATCTAAAAGCGGCATGTTCCTGTGACTGCTGGTTTGGGAATAATCCCCCTATGAGAAAGAAAATGCAACATGACTTCTGGGCTAGAGACAGGGTCAGTTCCTCCGTGATGCACCCCGGGAGGACCCTTTGCTTCTTCCCACGTCAGACTCACTAGTTGTGGCCTTTAGTGGTGGGGATGAGAGAGCAAATAGATGTAGCTGGATGCCGAGCCTTAAACTTTTGTTCGTGAGCTTTCATGGGACAAGGGCCTCTCACATACCACTCACTCTACCCAAACATTTGGTTGTTCAGCCCTCTACTCTGCTCAGGTCAGAGGTAACAGGAGACTTCTGCCATGTCTCTTTCTCCTCCCTTTTGCAAACCATCTAGGCAGCCTAAGCTCTTGCATGCGTATAAACCCTCATTGTGTCTGATTCTTCCTGAATCGAACCCACTTCCTACCACAGAGTCTTACAGAAGTAGTGCTAACCAACGAGGCGCAGTGATATCTAACGCTGGGGCCCTGAGGGCTTCTCTGGCACTATAACCATTGGGTTCGACACTTCTGGCCTTTGACTTGCCAGGACCCACGTGCAATTTAACTATCCTGTCCCCTCTCAGGTTTGTTATTCATTTCCTTTGAAAACTCCTGGTTGCATGCCAGTAGTGTTTTGTTGCTTCTTTCACACTCATGATCCCAGCTACCTGGGAATGACGTGTTACATAAGGGATTGCCCTGGTGTGTTTGCATGGCAGGGCGTTGGGTTTCAAAGACCTGGGGGTTAGAATGTCGAAAGGGTATGAACATTCTATTCTAGTCAAAGGAACAACAAAGGTGTCTGTTGGGGCTCTAGTTCCAAGAAACAAGAGTACTTGGCTTACCTTTGTATTTCCTGTGGACACGTAAATAAATTACAATACATTCCTGAAAGTTAAAGTCAGCTCTTTTCAGAAGCTGCACTCTAATGAATGTTTACACAGAAGTTTACCCCAGATCCCCCAGGAGTCATCATCCCAACAGCATGCACTTCTAGCTTCTCAAAAAAATGGGAGCACGTTTGTTTTTCAGAACCAATCTTAGAGATCATACAAGGAGAATCAAGTACTACCTGCTGGCAGTGATATTTTTAGCACTTGTTCTACAATTTAATGTTTTAATCCATTATTTGAAAATGAAACATTGGTTACATCAGTTGAACAAGCAAGCTGGAGCTAAATATAATGAAAACTCTGCAGAGACGCAGGAGCAAATGTATCATGTACACCTCCGTGCGTTTATCCCCATGGCAGTGTACACAAATACACTTGGAGAAAGCAGTCCGCATATCTCAAGACAAGCATTTCCAATCAGCTAGGTACTGACGTAACACAATACTAAGTGCCAACAGGAGCAATGCTACACATAAGAGCAAGTGGTTTACACATGTTCATATGCCTCCATTTTAAAGACTAAAAACAAAAAACTCCTTCTGGATCCTTTTGCTCCGCCCCCTTCCCCTTCCACACACACAGATGACCACACCCCAAACACTTCCCAGCCCTCTACCTCCACCCCTGCAATGAATGGAAGAGAGGGGTTGGGGATGGGGGGAGGCAGGCAGCTATAGGTTGTGCTTCCAGGGAAGTGCTTCCCTGGAGGCAGGAAGTTTTGTTTTGCGTGTAAGGCACTAACACATATACACAGACACACTTCAGAATGTAGCTTAACAGGTGTCAGGAAATAAAGCAAGTTTCTCTATGGCTATTCCAACCACCCTCAGAGCCAGCCTTCTGGAGAGGCCAAAAGTGACTGATACTGCAGCTCATGTGTGCCCCACAAAATACCACCTGCACCACATCCCTCACAAGCACACACTCACAAAAAAACACAAACAACCAATGATGGGAACTTTTCCTAGTGGAGCTAGGTCTCTATCAAGAAAGAGAAAACAGAACCTAAGCCAACCAAGATTCCTCCAGGTCAAGCAGCTTGCTCGATTCCGGGTCACAAACAGCCCCGAGATGCCGGCTACTTGGAATCCCCGAGCCCTGTGGACACACATTGTTATTGATATAATTGTTCCTTTTTGGTATGCTTTCGCCCATTATTATTAGGAGGAGCAGTGTCTGTTGGCTGCCCTATCAATACAGGGAGGGTGGGGGGCCTTTTAGAAGCATGACGACCGGGAAGGGGAAATGGGGAACAAAAAGGCATGCAGCATGTTGAAACGTGGCTCCAAGTTGAGAGGCTGGAGCCCAGGGCTGGGAAAAGCCGAGAGGAGAGGGGAGAGGAACATGTGTAGATATGTGTGCTTGTGTGTGTGAGAGGTAGGCAGTGTCTGTGCCTGGAAAATCTAAGAGGAGGGGGCAATTGAGGGGACAGACTCAGAAGTTCCAGGGTCCCAGGAGTGGGGACCACCAACTCAGCATGGCAGGCAGCAGAGAGCAGGCAGCTAGCAGGGTCCAGAGCAGGAGGAGAGCCCCCTGGACTTGGAGCGGGGGGCCTTTAGGCATTATTTCCATGGCTGCAATAAACCCAGCACCTTTTACTCCTTCACTCCTCATTTTAGAGGGTCTCTTTAGAGAGACCTCCCCCCAGCTAAGAAATCACTGCCACTCTTAGTTAAATATACATGTGCATATTTAATACATACTCATATACATAAATACACACACCACATGTATTTATGTAAGTAAATGCAGTCCAGCACCAACCACCAAGCAATGGAGTTAACTCCTTAAACACCCACCATTTCTCTCCTCGCTACAGCCTGATTATTTTTATTCCTCCAAAGCACTGGCTCCTCCATTTCACATGCTCATGCCTAGAGTGCGAGTGGTGTGTGTGGACCTGTGTGTGTTTGTGTGTGTGCACACTTCCCCTCTGTCCGATCAGGAGAAGCCCCCTCCCCATGCTGTGGCCCAAGTCTTTCTCCCATCAAGGCACCACAGCTTTCAATAGCCAGGCACAGCCCATAGTGGGGGTGGGGGACACAGACCGCCCCCCCCAAAACCTGGCCAGACCCAGAAACTCCCTCCCCAGACTGCCCCTCTCACTCACCGATCTGGATATTGTTGGGGAAATTGGCACCTACTACCGCGCCTAGGAAACCGGTGCAGAAGAAGGCAAAAATGTGCTGCATATTCCTTTTTGCATTGGCGAGAAAGAAGCCCAGGTCCAGTCATAGATTTGGTGTTTCCCCCTTCCCCGTATTCCTGTCTCTGCTGTGCCTTTTCTTTTCCTCCTGCAGTTCCTTCCTTTCTTGCTTGCTTGCTTCCTTCCTTTCTTCTGGGAGGTTTGTGCTTCCCTTGGAATCTGAGCACTTAAACTGCAGCGTTAACACCAACTGACAGCCAGATTAACTGAGCAGGGAAGAGAAGCCGTCCTCATGCTAGCTGGAGCGCTTGCTCCCCTCTCCTCTCCTCGCCTCGCCTCTCCTCTCGCAGCCTGCTTCCCTCTCCCTCCCTTGCTCTCGCTCCCTCGCTCTCCCCCTCACACTCACACAGGCAGCAAGCTGTGTGCTCATACCCACCGAGCCAGCTCAGAGTTCCACAGCTGCCCTCCTCTCCCTCTCACTCCCTGCCTCCTGTCCTCACCTTATCCTCCTTCCTGTGTGCCTAATGGATGGGTGGGAGGGTGGGTGAGGGAGTGGGATAGAAGGAGCTTGGTCCTGAAAGGGACAACGCCACTGTCCCCTTCCCCCGATCCTCCCCCACCTTCCTCAGCTCTCTGCCCCCTCCCCCAGCCCCTGGTCAGGCAGATGCTCCTGGGAATGTGGGTTCAGCTGCAAGTCAGTAGGTGGCAGGGGTCCCCGCAATAGTCCTCCATCCACCCACTACTTGATCTAGGTCACTTTCTCTAGGAGCGCTCAGGCTGTGCTGGATATATCTCCTGCACTCCACTGGCCCAATTATTCCTACAACTAATTCCTGAGGGAAGACCCTAGAAATCCCTCCTAGGAGCTTTAAAAGAGAAAAATGTTTTCCCTCCCTAATGGGAAGAATGATAGAAAGACAAACCAGAGGGTCTGGAATGACTGGCAGTTGCCTTGACTTGGACGTTTGGTGGTCCCTGTCTGCCTTTACCAGTGGAATTCGTGGTTGCCTTACTCCTAGGCCTTGAGAATGGGCCCCCTTCCCTGCTCCCTGCATTCCACAGGAGACTAGCATCAGAATGTGTGGGTGGACCGTGCAGGCGAGCTGATACTTACACAGAGCAATTACATGAGTCATTTTGCAGGGGTTCTAGTGAGAGGACGCAGGGTTCTTACTGTTATTCTGGGTGCTGACCATTCCGGTGCACACCGGAACCCCACAGACCCTTCTGGACGGGGGCTCCTACTGAAATAACCTGCAGAAGGAACAACTGTGTTCAGGGAAAAAGTGGGGGCTGCAAAGTGGCAGTCACCCTCAGTCACAGTGCCTTATGGTTTCTAAAGCAACTTCACGGTGTTATCCTGTTCTCTCTGCACACCTGTGAAGTGGCCAGGACCCTCACTGTACAGATGAAAAAAGTGTGGCTCCAAGGATTAAATGATAAAGACATACACCTACGACGATGGAGTCTGGACCAGCCAGCCCAACATACAGTCCAGCCTACAAACTTGAGCATTCTGGGCATTACCAGTGGACCCACTCACAGACCTGACCTGAACTCCCCCACCTGACAGATGCTTACCCTGGAAAGAGAGGCTCACCTTTTCTCTGTTAGAAAGAGGGAGAACAGACGCAATTTGCTTGGCACTCGACTAGGCCATTTTATCCAAAATTCCTCGTGTCCCTCACCAATGCTGCATGATCTCACATGCTTGCAGGGCGGCTGCAAGGGGTTTGCAAAACATACCGGGCCATCTTCGATGGAGCCCCTGTACTAGGAGCACAGAGAGGTCGATGCTTTTTAATTTCCTGTGCACTCTCACATATATTAATTAACTCGAGTGATTTTTAATGCTAACGTGTATTTATTTGCCATGTACTAGGTACCATGCTAAGCAGTGGGTGAACATCATTTGCTCGTGCAGTAAGGCCTGTGGTAGGTCATCTAATCCCCGTTTTATAGTTAAAGAAACTTAGGGCTAAAATTTACTCAAGTTTCTACTACTCACAACGAAGAGAGTGTGGATTTGGACACTGGAAATTCTATCCAGCTTAAACTCTCAACCCTTAGTTCTAATAACAGACTGCACTGGGTAGTAACCTTCTAGAGGAGTGTAAACATCAGTTTGGGAAGGTGGGAGAACAATCACATGTAAGGTCCCTTCTGACAAGAGAAGTCTGTGATGCAATGATGCCATTTTAAAATATAATCTCTCCATTTGCATTTTTGTCTCTTACTATTTTGAATGGTACCTTGGGAATCTTTTAAGATCTCTGAGCTTTATGCCTGGTAATAATAATAATTAGGCTGTCACTGTAAGCTTCACACTTCTCTGTCACCTTTCAAAGGAAGAGCACAAAGCCCTTTACAAGAATTAATTAGCAAAACCCCAACACCCACCCAGAGCAGGCAAGACTTGTTTTGCTTCCAGTGAGGGAGAGGGGCTTAAGGGAGTCAAAAGCATGCATTTTCTGTGTTTATTATAGATCACATGGCCAGATGGCTTTTCCTAAAATATAGCCCTATGTTATTGCCCTGCTCAAATATAGTCAGTAACTCCCCTTGGGCTATTAAATATGTACAGTTGTTTAATGATGAAATAAACATGGAGGTTATACACTTCAAGCTGGGCATCTAGGTCTAAGTACATTTTGGTTCGACTACTCATCTTCAGAATTGTCCTCAAATATTTGTGGAGAACCTGTTCTGTATCCGACAGGGTATCAGGTGCTGGAAAATATGGAGAGGCATCGGATGCACTCTCCACCTCACGGCACGTGAATGTGGTAGAAGAGAAAGACAGATGAATCCAGTCGTCCAAAGCAGACCGTGACCCGTGCTCTGACAGAGATGTAAACGCCACAAGGGGAAGCAAAGTAGGAAGCAGCCGATACTCTGTCTGTGGGGACCCAGCAGGCTTCAGAAGGGCTGAGCCGTGAAAGGGGAAGCCACAGGCAGAAAGTGAGGGCCCAGGAAAGAGACGCAAACCGAGAGAAGGGCTCCTGCAAGGGCTGGAGGCAGGAGAAGACGCCATACATGGTACAGACTACAGGACATGTTGGGGAATGTAAAACCCAGGAGCAGTCAGGATCAGGACTTGAAAGCCACTGAATTCCTGGCAGGAGGTGGAGAGGCATGGGCTAGTGTTTGGTATGACAGTTCTGTGACTTGGAATTGTGTGGGGAAGAAGAGACTGACCTCAGCTCCAAAGGTTAGGACCTCGGCTCCAAAGGTTAGGACTACATGCCATTCTGATACTGCCCGTCACTGGTTCCTCATGTTGTCACTCCTTAGAGCTTCCAGTCCTGTTCTCCATCCCCAGTACCCATCTTGGAAGGTTTGACTGTTCGCAGTCTGTTGTGACTGATGGCAACAGATAGAAGGCACCTTGTGATTGACACAGCATTGGTACACCCATTGTTTCATCTTCCCAACAACCCCACAGGGCAGGAAGTAGAACCTATTGCACACATCAGGTGAGAGTCAGAGTGGTAGGTGGTTAGCTTAAGACAATGGTTCTCCATGGGTGATGGATTCCTCTCCCCATGGGATATTTGGCAATGTCTGCAGACATTTTGGTTCTCACACCTGGGGGGGGTGGGTGTTACTGGCATTTAGTGGGGAGAGGCTGGGAATGCCACTTAACATTCTGCAATATCCGGGACAGCCCACACGGCCAAGAATTATCTAGTCCACAACACCAGTAGTGCTGAGGTCGAAACACCTTTCTTAAAAGGACATAGCAACTGGCCCACTGGGCAGTAAAGACCTGGGCTCCTCTCCACTGTATTACATTGAAGAAAAATTAGGTTCATCTTCTTTCAAGACTTTTTATATTTTAAGATGGTGTACCTGAAGGTAGTATTCCTTGAAGTCCAAATGAGTGAGCATTGTGGAGGGACCCAGGCAGGGGACAGGCCAGAGGAAGAGCCCTCCTTGCTGTGCCCCAGAGGCAGTGTGGCACCCGCTCCTGAGATTGTTTGGGACCTGTCCCAGTCTGTGTTTTTGGCATACCTTAAGTTCCATTGATATGTAGCCAAAACAGTCTAAGATATATTTATTTGGCTTTGGTTTTACATAGCAAATCAAGGAGAATGGTGTTGGGTAGGGATTTCAAATTCAGATGCCTTCTTGGGCCAAGCACACGAATGGAGTGAGCTGAGTTAGAGAAAGGGCAGCGAGGACAAAGAGAACTAGAAGGTAGGCACCCTGTCTGAAGGTCGAGTGCAAGGCCTCAATGGCAGCTGGTAGCCCTAGTGTGGTCAGGTCTTCTGTTTTTGTTTTTTTTTCCAAGAGAAAGTGGAAATACGGATTTTTATTTTCATTTTTAAAATATTAAGAGAACCTTCATTGCAGTGGTCAGAGAAAAATAGAAGGGGGTGTCTCTGGGCCTGATCTCTGTGGCCCACAGGCCACATAATGCCCGTTCTGGCTTCGTAAAAGGCTAGACACAGGGTCCAACCTCAATATCATCTTGGGAGAAAGGCCCATTTTGTCTCTGGGCCTCTGTTTCCTATTCCATAAAATGACGAGACCAGATCAGGTGATGGTGACACACTGTTCCGGCTCTGACACTTGGTGAGTCCATTTGGTGGCTCAGACCTGGGCAAGGAGGGAAAAGGACAAGGGGTCAGGCCTGGGAGACCCGTGCTTCCTGCCTCCTGCTGCCTGCGGCAGCGGCATCAGCGGGCAGGTTCCTTCCCCTCCCCGGGCCCACATGTCCCATCTGCAGGTCCCAGGGGTTGTACCAGGGTCTCTCCAGACTTGAACATTTTAGGTTTCTGGTGTGAAACAATTCAAGGGGCAGGGGAAGCCAGCAAATGGACGATCTGAGAACAGATTGCTGACAGCTAACAAGTTAGCAAAAACCCCCCACAAAACTCAATCAGAGAGGGTGCCTCTGTGGCTGTGGAAAGGCCCTGTTTTAAAAGATGTAGGGAAAAATAATATTTTTCATGTTTTTAGCCCAATCCCTGCAGAAGGCTCCCAAAATACTCCACAGGCTGCGTGTGTGAGGACATTACCCAAGACAATGTAATTACCCACCCTGGAGGTCTGCCAGATTTAACAGCATTGTCTGTCCTTTCTTCTTCTTCTTCTTCTTCCAGCCTCACCCCTCCCTTCTCACCAGAATGACAGCCCTTTCATAAGCCCTCAGCATTACTAGGTAATTAGGGAGCAGTGCAAATTCTGGAAAACACCCCGGGGCAGGATCAATGCCTGAAAAAAAGGTCTATTTCAGGGGAAACTCCTACACGGCACCATCATTGTAGGTAGAAATCGGAGGCACCGACTGCTCCTCCAAACCAGGGGTGCCCTCAGAAAGGCCACTGGGCCATGCTTCTGAGGGTGCAGGCCAGCCTCGGAG